AGAAGAAACAACTTTGCCTGTTTTGATCTCAACTCTAGCACATTTACTTTTCATCGACAATCTGTTCTTGAACTCTGAAGCATCCTCGTTTTTATAGTTTTTCCTTATACCGCTCAAAGATGATCCTTTTACGACCCTTTCAGCTTTTACATAGTTGTGATTTTGTTTCTCAGATTCTTCCATATGCATACAATCTTCACACATCCAGTCATCTCCAGGAACTTTTTCCATCATTACCTGCATGCAGTATCTGGTTGACACAAGAAGATAAGTTAAGGAAAACCATAGGCTTTCAAGTTCTATAGTGAAAAAAAAAAAACAAAAGAAAGCATCCAAAAACAAAAAGATCCAGAAAAGATGAGTTACATACATGTGCTCTGCCCCATCAATGCACCTGCTACATGTAGCAAGCAACTCCTCACGACCTGTATCCCCACAGATATCACAAACTTTTACCTGTTTTGCACGACCCAAAGAAGGACCAGGAAAATGGAATCACTAAGATAATTGTTTCCCTATTTAATTGAAAAAGGGTAATGGATGCAATAGCAACAAAGAAAGAATAGTTTCCTACATCAACAGTGCAGTTTTATTTAAAGGCCAAACATACAGGAAGCAATAGAAGGAAACAGGAGAATAATATAGGGTGAGGATTCAACAAGATAGCTATGTGCCATATTATCTATCAAACCTTTGCATCCAAATTAGTAACTGTTATTTGCATTCCAACAAAGCTAAAATCAAACAGAACTGCAAATTTCTTTCCCTTATTTACCACCTTATGATGACAATAACTAAATTTAGCATGTGTTCATGTGTGCGTGTACCCACACAACTTAAGTAACAATCTCTTTTCTTGAAACAAAAGAATATAGGCAGTATCAACTGGGCAATACTAATCAACCTTGTGATCATCTCAATATAGGACAAGCATTGCTGGTCAATGCCAATCTACTCAAATAAGGCGGCTTAGCTGGACTAAATGAGATTGTCTACCAAAATAATTCCCCCACCACCACCAACCCATCCACTTCCTCCCTGCCTGTGCAGGTTTGCTTAGAATGGGCTAAACACAGACTTAGTGTAAATCATATTATGACATAAGACCAGCAATAAGGTACAGTTTTCCAGTCAAATGCACAGTGGATCAGATTATAAAAAGAAAGGAATATTTATCTGAAGTACAAAAATCTATGAGAACACATTAGGCACCACCACCTTCAGTACTTGATAACCACTATACACCTGTGCACCGTTTTCTTTCAAAAACAAGTTTGTATGGCTATGCAACAGTGGTGGCGGTGCATGGCTTTCTGTGGTTGCAAGTGTGTGCATGGATGTCTATCTCTGTGTCTATGTGTCCATGTGCAGTACTACTATATTCATTTGTCTTCTTGGGACAATGCCCCATTTATGAGAGGAAAGTATGATGTCGAGGTTCACAACAACTTGTTCCTCATCATCTCAGGAATTCCAAAGTTTGCACATCAACATTTAAGGAAATTTCATGGTTCCATTCCGGTAAGATAGACAGGGCACAAGAAGCAAGTTTAGCAGTAAATTTTACCAGAAAGAAAAAGTACATACATCATCCTCCCCGACATCTGATCCATCATCACAGTTAACAGGCTGAGGCTGCGAAGGAGCTTCCTGTTCCTCAACTACTGCATCACACTTCACATCATCTTCTTTTTTACCTGAAAAAATTCCAACTTCAATCGCTGGGCCTCCATCATTCAATTCAGAGTGAGTTTTCAGAGGTTCAGCATAACTATACATACCACCAATTTGATCATCAACCCTAAAGGTTGCCATGCTGTTTGACAATGTTTCTGCTTGCTCCTCAGGCCACTTTGAAGGAAACTGAAGAAGAACCCAGGAATTAAATTTCAACCTTAAATAATTTCTTCAAAAAGGAACAATTTTTTCTGATTAAAGAAAATTAATCTAAATTACCCACCTTCAGGAAACCACGATTGGGGTTAATGTCAGTCAAAGATGAAATTTCTGACAAATTTGCTTTGTTTGAAAGAAACACTAATGCCTGTGAAGATTTATTTTGGTAAAAATTACTACTGGGCATTCAATTTCTTCTTCTCTTAAACTGATTACTACCATGAACAACTGATTTCTCAAAAGTCTTACCTTTGAATTTGACTCAAAATCTTGAGAATTAGGAGCTGCCTTTCCCATGGAGACTTCGTCTGAAAACCCGTCAGTCTCTGTAGCCGCTTGTGAAAGTGAAGCCACTGGTTTGATATGCATACAAGACGAAAGTGAAGTGCTGCTGCACACATTGCATGTCCTAGCTTCTCCTCTAGTTTTCTTAAATTTGTCACACATAACCGTCAAATTTGAGCAAATAAGTAAGAAAATACCATAAAAGGGAACTGCTGGGTTTCATTATTCATATCCAACAAAAAGCATATATATGAGCTAAAAGAAAAGAAAATAGAAAAGAAAATAAGGGAGTGAACCCATCTGCGGGATCAGGGTCTTCCTTGCTCTGTTCCTTTTTATCTTGACTTGGCTCGTGGTTTACGTTTGTAGTTTCTCTTTTCCTATAAAAAAAAAAACATAAATAAAGAAAAAAAAGAAAACAGGTCCTCTTTGCTAAGTAATGTGTGACTCAAACACAAACTCACACGTGTTTTTTTTGCTTTCAGTTTGTGATTGTTGTGATATGAAAATAATTTCTGTCAGATTTATTATGAAAGAAAATTAGTTTAGTGTTTTATAAGCTTTTTGTTAAAAGTGTTGGTATAATAATCAGTTTATGAGTGTTTAGTAAATTTTGTATAATAGTGATATTAATGACATATGTTGAAATTATTTTTCTATTCAAGTGTATAGTAAAAAGCAAAGCAATTTTATTTTCACTTTCACTTATATAAAACTTGTGTTTAATATATTTTCTAACTTTCACACTTAAAAATTATTAAAATCATAAAATAAAATAAATATTATGTCAAGTTCTTCTACCAAGACTTTTCCAATAGAAAATATAAGCAATAGTCTTATGGTTTATTACCTTCTCATTCTTCCTTGAAGATCGCTTCCTCTTGTAGTCTTCCAATGTGGGACTCTTGACATTGCCCCTAGTTGTGACTTGTGTTATTACTTCTTTGACTAAGATGATGACCTCTCATAGCATGAAACGTGGCTGATCTTGCCTAGCTAAATGCTCGGTTAGTCACGGTATCAACAAAAAGAATTCTTGCCAATTTTTTTCTTGATTTTCTTCGAAAACATAGATTCAAATGAAATCATGAAAACACAAAAAATGATAAGAAAAGGTTTTATTTCCATATTAAAACATGATAAAAGCATAAAACTTCCAATTGAAAACTAAAGAATTTACTAAAGACACCCAAAACTATAAAAACTCTTACCCTTAAGCCTTCCTTCTTTGTTCCTTTTCTCTTTCAGAATTCTTCCTCTCCCTCTCTTTCTTTCTACTAGTAAAGTGAACTAAAAACATATATGAAAAATCCTTCTCTAACTTCAACTATTTAGGTGAAAAAGACATGATTAAAATCTATTACTAGCTCTTCCCCCTCCTCTTTATAGCTGGGATTAGTCAACCATATAGATTGCTTACAGAGCAATCTAAGTTCATCACCAACAGCCACCTCCTCCTATAGACTCTCCACCTCTTACCGAGCCCTTCCACCTCCTCCTTAAATCTTGCCACTATCACCTTATATAGCCTTCACTAATAAGCACCCTAGAGTGCTTACAAGGCATGAAGATATTTTTTGAAAGAAACAAAATAAGAGAGAATGAAGAAGACAAGAGGAAGGATGACATATTTGGCTGTAGGATTTTTTTTTTCGGTTGAGAAAAAGCTGCTGTATCTCAAGTTACATCTGAGACAAAACATTAGGCTCATTGTTTTAGGCTTAAAAGAAAATAAATGGGTTTGCTTAAACCTAAAGACTTGAGCTGAACTTAAAGGACCAAAATGTTTATTTATGTATTCTCTTATCTGATGTCCGCACGATAATAACGTCCGAACGTCCGCATAAGAGAATATATATATATATATATATAAACATGTCTTTACAGCGCCTCCCAAACTTGATTTCGGCATAAACTGCGGTTCCTTTTGGTTGACATTTCTACAAGAAGTGGTGTGGCTGTGATACGGAAGCATGATCGGTCTTGGAGCAGTTATTGATGGGTGTTTTGTGCAGAGATACAATCACAGCCACACCTGTACATGTCGCTTACATTTCCGATCATTCTCGTTGAAATTTTGGAGGTTTCCCGGTGTCTACACTTGATTGGAGCAGTTGTTGACGGTTACACATTCTGTACATCAGTTCGGAGAAGTTATTTGCGGTTTGACGGTTACCACAACACCAGATAAGTTTGACTTGTTATCATTAACTGCCTCATAGCCACATCAGCCTGACTTGGGCCCATGGAGTATTTTATTTTTCTTCCTTACCTGATGGGTTGTGCTTTCGTTTAGCCCATGTGTTGTTTTTTTTAAGCTTTACTTTTATTTTCATGTATTCTTTTAAATGTAATTGCTTATCACCCAGGGTTTTGTTTTCATCCTTATTTTTGAGTTATTTCAAATGTAATTTCTTTTTCTGATTTCATTTTGTTATTTTTTTCTAATTTTCTTTTTCACTTGTAGACTTCTGTTTTCAGTCGTTGAACTGTTGTTTGTGCTGAGTATTTAGGAAAAATAGAAGAGAGAAGAAATCTGTAACTAAGGAAGAGAAAACTTTGAGAATTCTAGAATGGTGGGAATCAAATCTTGTTTTCTCGTCACCACTATACACGTACAGTAGAGCCTTTATATTTAGGCTTTGCTTAATGGTTAAGCATCTGAGCTAACAACCCCTAACAACCTTCACGTGTTTAACATAACTAATTACAGACACGTGGCACACTGATTCTAATCATTAGCTAAACAGTTTGGTGTGGTCGATTAAAAAGGTTTTCAAGATTCCTCTTTTTTTTGTCTCTCCTCTCGCATTTGGGTTTCGAATGATTTTGCTATCATTTTTACTATGGAAGCACCTACTCCGAAACAAAAAACATTGCATACATGTTAATCATGTTGTCATATAAATTGTTCTGTGAATAAGGTGGTTTGTAGACGATGTTGCGAGTAGAGTGGTGGTGGCGAGGCGAGGGTTCCCGTGGGGAGACGGGCGGGATCCGCTGATTTCCATGTTCTTTCACAGCCAAACAGATCCACATTACCACAAGGAAGATGAGGCTTCTCTCTGAACCACCGCAATGCGAATCCCTTCGTAACCAACCGAAATCGTTCATCTTTCCAATGGCCAATGAGAATTCTGTAAAATCTCAACTGAAAGAAATAGATTTTGAGGGAGAGCAACATACCCATGATCCAGAAAATAGATTACTTTGAAACTCCTTTGAAATTGCAACAAAAGCGTACTGCAGATTTTTCTTCCGAGAAGATTAAAATGTACTGTTATGGAAACATATAGAAAAAGAAAAATAGATGAAAATTTGGGGATTTTTGTTCGGTTAGAGTAACCGTAAAGAAACCTCCGGCCAACAGGTTCTTTAATCTTTAGAAGAAGAAAAGGTGCATGCTTTAAATAATAATCTTATCAAGACTGGCAAAATTTTCATCAACTCCAGCTTCGTCTCCGATGCCCTCATCGTCCTCCTCTGCTCGCTCGCCATTCTCTTCGCCAAATGAACATCTCGTAAGTCCAGATTCCCCATTTTGTTTTGTCTGCCCATGAAATGCGGGAAAGTGATTACTTTTCTTTCTGTTTTTGCTTTCTTTTTCTGGGTTTTGAGGAATTTGGGTTTCTAAGGTCTTGTCATTGGGTTGATGGATGAATTTGGAGTTTGGTTTTATCTGATAATGGTTCAGATTGAATGCAAATTTGTTGTTCTTTAATTGAGTTTGATTAAGAATCATTTTTGAGAAATTTGGGTTTCGTTTAGATTTTTGAATGGATGCATTGGAATTTTTATAAGGTCATAGGGCATTGAAGAAAAATTGGAGTTGCTACCATGATAGATGAACTGAAATTTGTGGTTCTTGAAATAAAATGCCTTTGTTTCAAATTGTAATTGTGTGAATGGTATCACTTGATATGCGGTTTCTGTGTCAAATTATGAATTTACAGATTTGATACCATTGTTGTGGTGAATGGAGATCTTTGTATTGAAGTATCTAGTTTTATTGTTCACTAGGGTGCCGGTCGATCCACTCCGGTGGCAGATTTCGTAGGACACTGCCAATAGGATTGTTGCCCTTTTAGCGAATATCATAGGAGCAGCTGAGTCTGTACTGAGGGTTGCAGCCATAGGACCTGACAAGAGGTTGTTTTTCAAGGTAATAATGCTTGATGATTGCAAGAAATGTTTAGTTTGGTATCAAGCTTTTGCAGAGTCTATATAATTCGGTGTCTATGGATGAAAATTTTCAATAGCTAACATCTATACATGTGCTGCTGGAAAATTTAAGTATTAAGGGGAGGTCCTAATACCTGTCTTAAGAATTATAAAATGGCCGAAGTCAGGACATATTTTGAACTTGGATATCGTCAAAATTTGGATCTTTTTTTTTTTTATGGTATTGAGTTGCATATGCAAGTTGTTATGTGCGCACGTGTGTTTTCATGCTTGCAATTGTGTTTCTTACTGGGAAGACTTGGATGCCACTTGGAGGGCACTCCATAATGTACCTTCTCTTCTACTGCATAGTATTTTAGAAGAATAGAATGGAAGCTAAAACGTACTTGTAATAACAGTTCCCAAGAGAATAAAAAAATATATGTGTGTACCAGATCTGTGGCTTTGCTATAGTAGAAAATTAATGTTTTGCACTGAGCCCTCACTATATATTTCTAGCTATCTATTCTAACCATGAAACTTTTGTCCTGAGTAAAGGCATCTTGCGGTGGCTGGTCCCTTGGCTCACAGGCCATCATATGTTATTAAAGCAGTCTGCTTGAAGAACAAATCTTGGCTGTGCTAGGCTATCAAATTGATCTTCTTTTTCCTTTCCGTTGGGATGGTTGCAGATGTGGCTTAGCATTTTCGTGATAGCATGTTATCATGTAGAATAAAGTTATGCAAATTTGTCAATGATAATAAGTCATTCTTGCAGACAGCTCACCAGATAACTTCGAATTTAAATCTTCTCCAAGTGGTGTTTTGTCTTTACGAGCTTTCAGCTTTGGGACGGTTGGTGTCAGGTCTTACAGTTGCCTATGTTTTTTGCCTAAATCTGTTACCTCTTCGTAGCTGCGATAATTTTCGTAGTTTGGCCATTTAAGATAAAAAGCAGGGTGACAACTTACATGGTGTTTTGTCCGATTCAGTAGCCACTGTCTGATTTGCAACTTGCTTTTGTTTTTTTTATATTTTTTATTGATACAAAGTCTTTTACTATTTGAATGCATTCGTGTAAAATTTTCTTTTTCCTTGAATCATTCTGCTCCTGAAACAGGATTATGCTTGTTTTGCCTTTATATCTTAGCCGAGAACAGTCCGTGCATGTTTGTCTCAATTTCTGAGGAGAACGAATGATCTAGCCCAGGAAGATGCTGCAGAGCAAGATACTCTGTTGTAGCTTATGTTTTCTGTAACCTCCATGTACAATGAATCTTTGTATATTTTTGTGCGGTTGTATTTCGGGCTACTCATAGTTTCTGTGTACATATTGTTAACCAGGAGATACAATGTTACGATGCAAATTGTCGAATAATTGACACCATTCCTGAATAAATGTTGGTAATTAGTTTTTGCTACAACTTCTAGGGCTTGCTGCAGAAAATAGTCATCAACAAAATGATGGTACAAAGCCATCGCTGAGAATCTATTACAAATATCCTTTGAGAGTTGACATTATTGATTAGAAGTATAACTTACTGATTTAATCTCAACTTCTAAACTACTAATCTTATATGAACCTAATGGATCAAATGCAATGATTGGTGAGATTATCTACATCAGTAAAACATAAGACCAACACACAATGGGAGAACCAAGAGAAAGAGATCAAAGTGGAACTGTTAGCTCTCTATTAACAATGAAACCTATACAACCGTGAGAAAAGAATATACATAATGTCAAGCCTTACAATCACAAACACTGAACAATGAAATATTACATCGAATTCATGAGAAGGCTTTCAAAAAAATTAAACTAAGCTGCACCCATTATAGCAAAAGCTGATGGCTTTTGGCACCCAGTGTTTGGGATCACAGGCCTTGAATCTCCAGGGTACATGATGGCCAAAGGAAGAATCTGTTGCTCCATCTCCTCTGTATTTTCAGAGCTCCAACTACCAAGTGGTATGAAACTACCATAATCAAGACCACAATTCGAAGAAGATGGCACTGAAGAAACTTCCTTTATTGGTTCAGCTTTAACCTGTGCAATCTCATCAACTTTAGTCACAAAGGGGTGGTCCAATAGCTTAGCTGCTGTAAGCCTCTGTGAAGGGTTCCTCGCAAAGCAATTCTTCAAGAAATCTCTAGCATCTTCTGATAACCCACCAGGAACCTTAGGAACTCCGGAAGCAATCAGAGGCTTTAGGTCATGAAGTTTCACGCCGGCTTTCGCATCCCATGGGTGCCTCCCAGTGAGCATCTTGAGCACAACACAGCCCAATGCCCAAATATCGGAAGGCTTCTCCTGAATGCTATCAAGCACAGTTTCAGGAGATAAGTACATTGCAGTGCCTCTACAAGAACGCTCACCCGCAGCCCTCTTTGCCAGTCCCAAGTCCCCAATTTTGGGCACAAAACCAGAACCAGAGGTCACAAGTAAGATGTTTTCAGGCTTCAAATCACAGTGCACAAAACCCCTTCCGTGAATGTACTGAATTCCTTTCAAAATCGACTCTGTATACTTCCTCACTTGTAATTCACAGAGCCCGGAGCCCCCAGATTGCTTTATCAAATCCCCTATTGTTCCTCCATCAGCATATTCCAAGAACACATTGTATACCAAATTATATCCAATCCCAGCCGTGAAATCTTCTCCATAACAGTCGATAACAAAAGGGCACCCACGAAACTCGCCAAGAAGTGACCTTTCGCTCACCAGCTCAAACGATTTAGCCATCAATGCCGATTTCACAGCCATGATCGCCGGAAAACCCTCGCTACCCAATTTGGGTTTTTTCACAGAGGCCAAATAAACCGACCCAAATCCGCCTTGGCCGAGAATCCGCCCTCGAACCCACTCACGCCCAGTAACTAAAAAACTCTTCTCTACAAACCATGTTTCCTCTTCCTTTAGGGTTTCTCTTTTCTGCTTCAATGAACCCATTGTTTTTCGTACTTTGCAGAAACAAAATTAAAGCTTTTAATTCTGGGTATGGGTCTCACAAAAGCGAAGAGATGGAGAAAACGATCGATCAAATGGAAATGGGAAAGCAGAGAAGTGGGTGATCAACGAAGACGACGATGTCGTTGATAAGGAAAACAGAGATCGAAGCGAACGTTTTAGGGTTCTCTCTGCTTAACTTTGACGCAGTGATTTAAGTTCGTTATTTCCTTTTCCTGGTGGTGTTGGGTTTCCATTATATAGAGAAAGCGTGTAAGCGTTCCAACGGTCATATTTTCTTTCGCGGCCTTTCACTTGCGTTCTAATTATTTAACAATATAATATGAAAAACAAAATGTTATTATTGTTTTATTTTGTGAAATCTAATAATTGACTGCTACGAATTTGAAATATCTACCCATTTTACCTATTAAATTTTCAATTTTTTTTTTTAAATGTTACTCATAAATACTAAGGAACTTATGATAATATTAATTCTGCTTTACCAAGGCTAAATTTAACTTTATAGTTAAACTAATATAATTAAGTGGGTTAAATGTGAATCTACATTCTGTCGACGAAAATTCTCACCTTTGCTCAGAAAAATCCTCTCTAGCCGTACATTCCTTGAAGGGGGGGAGGAGGTCATTGTTCCTCCTACTCCCCTCTCCTCTCTCCCTCCCCTCATCTGTCTTCCTCCTTCTCCTCCTCTCCCTTACTTTTCCTTCTCTTCTCCTTTCATCTCCTTCCCACCCCACCTCCCCTCCCCTCCCCTCACCTTCCCACTTAATGGTCAATGGTGTAATAATTTACAATTTGAAAGGTTATTTTTGTCAAATCATAAAAAGTATTAGTCAAAACTGTTACACTTACATGTATCATACATACCACCAACATAAGTACATAGCGTAATTGACTAAAACATTGATTAAGTTTGGGCAACGAAATGCATTGCATGGCATAATGTTATCTTTTGACCTTGTTGATTTCATAATGCATTGCATTGCATAAGGGCATGGAATCTTTTGACGATCCACACTGTCCTCTGGCCATGGACAATCACTAATAGATGAAGAAGAGTAGCACAACCAACGATTTTGAATACCCTTCTCTCTTCTTTTATTTAGAGGCAAACTCAATTTCTTTCCATTTGTGTTGCTTTTATGGACTTGGTCGTGGAATTCCTTTCTTTTTATTTTTTATTTTTATATATTTGTTTTTAGGAAAATGCTAGGCTTATCACATTTTTCATACCATAATTGTACCACTTCGCTAATAGAAATGGACCCCATTGTATTGATAGGCTCCACCTCTATAAAAATATGATAAGCCTAACATTACTCTTGTTTTTATTTCGCTGTTCTCTGAAAATACTATCGGGCCCATTAGCGTGATGGCTCTCCACAACAAGGCATTTGACATGCCAGCGTTATCTCCACGTGTCAATTTTCCATAGACAGTTAGGATATTCCCACATCCTACCGCACCATGATAATACAAAATTCAACCATGGGCCACACCGTCAGATCTCTCTGACCCGAATCCAACGGTCCAAATTCCTTCGGACAACTACTATTTAAAAGCTGCGAAGCTCAAACCTGAACCGAAGTATGCCCAATGAAGACGACGAAGGCTTAATCTCCGTCCAATATCTCGTTCTGAACAAACCGGTTTTCGGCATTTCCTTACTTGTTTAACCAAATGGAGCTTCCTTTCACATCGTTTACAGCTCCTAATCCTCCAACGACGTCGTTGTGTGGCAAACTCGGCCTCTGCCATTTTCCGGCGACGAGAAAGAGGAGGACGGCGCTGTTCGACGGAGCTTCTAGGGTTTTGGTACCGGCGGTTAGGGGCTCGGGGGAGCAACGCAGCAGTGAAGGCATTGATGGAAGAGACGGAGAGAGTCGGGGAGGAGGGTTCACGAGCCCTGCCATGGAGGTCACCACATTTAATTCGAGCTTCGGCGAAGCTGAGTTCCCTGTTTGGGAAAAGATTGGTGCTGTTGTTAGACTTAGCTATGGAATAGGTAAGTGAGCTCTACCATAATTACCATAATTAACCACTAATTACCCTGGCTTGCTTCATAATTAACGTAATTACTAATTTTTCTCACCCTGTGTGTTGTGGATAACGAATCCTTATCCTGTCGATTTCACCAATAAAAGATTTAATTTTGATACGCAATTTGATTTGATTTTTCTTTTTTTTGTTACATGTTTTTATATAGAGAATTATTGAATTATGTATACTTCTTGTGATGAATTTTTATTGGGTTTCTTTCTGTGAACAGGTATATATGGTGCAATGGCTGTGGTAGGAAGATTTATATGCTCCGTCACGGGGATCGATAGCATGGGAGGTTTCCAAGTATCTTTAGATGCAATTGTACAAGGGCTTGGATATGCAGCCCCACCAATCATGGCCCTTCTCTTTATACTAGATGTAAGTTGATTGATTGATTGATTTTGAAATTTTGCGCAATCATACGGATTACGAATGATTTTTCATTATTTGGTAAAGAGAAAACTTAGAAAGATAAGATAGAAAAGAGAGAAGAGGATCAGTATTTCTCATTGGCAACTGAATAGAGCACAAAGGTCCACACCCAACATCAGTTCCTAGTAATTAACCCTTCATATGTTCATATGGACGCTGATGTACTTCACCCTTTTAAATTTTTTTTAAGACCTCTAGGATTGGATTGGCTTCTCTAATACCAAGTTAAGTTGTGTATTGCAAATGATTAGATTTATAGAGAAAGAAGAAGAGAATGGGAGATTTAAGGAATTGGTTTAAGGTTGTGTTTTTGTGACTAACGAATGTGAAAATGGTTATAGGATGAAGTTGTAAAGTTATCGCCACATGCTCGTGCTATTAGAGATGTAGAGGATGAGGAGCTCCGCAGCTTCTTTTATGGAATGTCACCTTTGCAGGTTTACCAACTTTAATAATGTTATTGTAAAGCACTTTATGGTGTGCTGATTGGACAAAGCAAGAAACAAGTGACATGTTGCTCCTTCAATGTCGCAGTTTATACTAATTGTTGCCGCAAGCTCCGTGGGTGAGGAGCTTTTCTACAGGGCAGCTGTTCAGGTGTGGTATCCTTGAATATATTTAGCCTTTAGTATATGTTAAAAAATATCACTCAATTTAAATGTTGGGGTTACTAACTGTCATTGCAAATTATAATCTTCCCAATTTGTCAATATGAGTGGAAGAATCACTGTTGTAGGAGAAGTAAATCATTATGATTTTTTTCCCAATCATTTATGACATTGTAGGGATCGTTGGCCGATATATTTCTTAGGGGCACAGATCTGGTCACAGATGCTCGAGGAATGGCGTCTCTGGTATTGCAGTTTTCTTGACTTTTCTTTACTATAATCAGCAGTAATGAACATTTTCTGATGACTGAATTCGCTCTATTTGTAGACTGGATTTTTCCCCCCATTTGTCCCTTTTGCTCAGGCATTTGCTGCGGTGATTACAGCTGCTCTTACAGGTTCTCTGTACTATGTAGCAGCCTCTCCAAAAGGTTGATTCTCTGAATGACATTTTAAGTAACTTCGGTGAAATTTGTTTGTGCAAGTTTAATGATCAGTTGCTAATTGTTCTTGCAGATCCTGATTATGTAGTTGCACCAGTTTTACCATCTCGCTCTGGTCGTGAAGAGATGAAAAAGCTGTTTGCAGGTTTAACTCGTTACTTGAGCATGGGTTTTTCGGTGCTTCCAGCTTGTTTCACATAATAAGCTAGTTAATGTTTGTGGAACCAAATTAGATGATTAGAACTTTCAACAGATCGTTGGTATTTGCAATTATGGGGATCATTCCATTTTATACAGTTAATTCATGCTTATATTTCAATGTGATATCTACAAAAGTTACAAGTTCTCCACAACGAAGTGCCTCGAAAACTGTCTTTACTACAATAGTTATACTCCATCTGATTCCAAGAAGATGGAGAAAACAAAATAACGTCTCTAAATCTTCTAACTGTAGCATGTACATCTGAATTATAATTTCACCATTTTTTTTCCGTGGTTGTTCTGCAGCTTGGTATCAGAGGAGGCAAATGAAGAAGATCTACTCTCCCCTGCTTGAAGGACATCTGGCCCTATATCTTGGTTTTGAGTGGATGCAGGTACTTGTGTTTCTTGGTTGCAAATTTGTTGTTCATTGAGTACCTACTATACACGGAAGAGGATGAAACTCAATAATCGAATTTCCTTATGTTTTATGAAAAATTTGGCAGACAAATAATATTCTTGCGCCCATGATCACACATGGCATATACTCTGCTGTGATATTGGGTCATGGCCTCTTGAAGATACATGATCATCGGAGAAGACTACGCCAGAGAATCGAACACCTTAAAGTAGATGGCAAAAAGTAAAACAAGTTATGGAGCTTCACACTGCGGGGGGGACTATCCCAACTTGGGGGAAAATTTGTAAATTACTTAGAAGAGCAAACATTCCCAATACTGTATACTAATATAAAGTTGAAAACTAGGAAGTCTGTAAATGTTGTAATATCAATGCAATTTGTAGATGGAGAGTTTTTGTAAACATATTTGTGATAAAAATGTTAGTTTCTTGAACGTACGTCCTGTCATCAACTTCTTTTTAATATTCTGGTTGTGGTTTGTTTGGCAACTTAAACATGGAACTTATCAATAATATACTATCGCTAATTTTCAAAAAATAAAAAATAAAAAAAGAAGGAACTTATTAAATGACGAGCGAGAAAAATCGTGGAAATTGGGGAGATGCTCGAGTTTAATTTCCACCAAAAGAGTTGTCATTTTGCAAATTTTCAATTCCTTCATCCAAACGGACATGAAAGAACGGAAAGAGAATCTCCAAACCTCATTTAAATGGGAAGATGATGATGTGATATAGAAAGATTGACAATTTCACTAATAAACTCATTTTAGAATGACATAATATACAAAAGCCCTTATAAAGCCTATTTGGAGTGAAAAATCCAAAACTGGTCAGT